TCATTTTGAACATTGTTAAGGTTATTTTTTTAAGCAAAATGTTGATCTTCTGTCAGTTTTTCTTCATTTTCATTAACAAATTTCAAAACATCATCCACATTGTATGATATTTCCATGTTGTAATCCACAGCAGTGTTGTTCTTTTTAGTCCTAACTGGTGAAGGTAGGCCAAAATCTTGGAATAATCTTCCACCAAGTTGTAAAACTTTGTCTGCATGGATGATTATGGCTTCATTAATTACTTCATCAGAGTACTGGAGATCTATGTCTGAAGCAGCACTTTGCATTCTGTAAAGAATGTCTTTGGATATACTTTCTCTATGATTTTCCTACAGTTGAAGAGGGTTTGAAATACCACATGTTTGTAACATCACTACAAATAAATCTGGCAGCAGCTCTGAAACTGTTACAAAATTCACTATTCACTCACTTCAGATCTTCAAAGGATGTAGATCCAGGAATTATGTGCAATAACAGTCTCAAACAAAAGCACTCAAAATTAGTTGGATATACTGTATAGGCTCTTCCTAATGCAGGACTAAATTTGATACCTGGATGGCTTTTTAATTTGGAACCTTGTGCTCTTCTTTTCCACCTTTTTGGTTGGTTTTTCCATATCAAATGGGATGGTACTTCTGAATACAATAATGTTTTTGAAAATCCATCAGCAGAGCATAGTTCAGAAAAGGCAGTAAGTGTAGTTCTAGGTAGCTTTTCAATTCTTTGTAATACATTTTCATCATTAAAGAATACTCTTTGACCATTGTCTAAGTGGACTTGTAAAAGCACAACTGTCGGATGATGTTCATGTATTGGAAATTCAAATATTCTCCAAATTGCTTCATTTGTAATTATGTATCTTCCCAACTGGTATTTTAAAACTTCATCTCCTACATTACCATCCTGCTCAATAACAAAGACATCCATATCTGAACCCTCATTGACATATTTACAGACATTTTATGCTTTTAACTGAATTGCATGATTCATGTGGGCTTGCCTGGCCAGGTGGTTATGGAGCTTGACTCGCAATCTGAGGGTCGCAGGTTCAAATCCCCATCCCACCAAACATGCTCCCTCTTTTAGCCATGGGGGTGTTATAATGTGATGGTTAATTCCACTGTCCATTGGTAACAGAGTAGCCCAAGAGTTGGTAGTGAGTGGTGATGACTAGCTACCTTCCATTTAGTCTTTCACTGCTACATTAGGGATGACTAGTGTAGCTTTGCATGAAATTCAAATCAAAACCAAACAATCAATATTGATGTAAACATTGAAAATTTTGGAGAGGTAAGGGTTATAAGGTACAATCCACTGATTATCAATTTCAATTTCTGTGAAAAAAGTGCTATGTCCTTAATCACCTGACTTTCTTCTCCTATAAAGTGGATATCCATCAATGTCTGTTTGAGGAAAGCCTTTGGAAATTTTTTGCAACATGTTCCTTCCTTTATGCATGGAGAATTTATGTTTAATAAACCACATGGACCACGAATCATATGCTTTTTCATAATTTCAAACAAAATGAGATCTTCATTAGATTTGGCAGGTCTGCAGAAATTATATCATCAATTTGATTAGGTCGGATTTTGTTTTTATGCCAAATTAGAACGTGTGCATGTGGAAGTCCTCTTTTTTTGCCATGTAGATGTCACATTGTGTGTTATCAAAGATGCCATGCTTTGTTAAAAGTTCTATAAGTTTCACAACATTTAATCTAAAGAAGTGCAATTAGATTATGGTGGTTTTTGAGATTTTTGGTTACTTAGTAGTTCTCTTGTAATTTCCATCTAATTTGGATTGCAGTTTAATGTTATAAACAGGTCCATACTTCCTAACAGAGCACAACATCTTGTGTGCATTCATGCATATATTTGGGGCTTCCTGTAAAACTTGAAGGTAAAATCACCAGCTGACCAATATTTCTGGAATATCCATTTTCTCTCACAGTCAATGTTCCCTCTAATTTTTAAATCCATGTGCAGAATGAATTTTTTCATCTGCACCAGTACCTAGGCAATGTGTGCTACCATTTGTTTTTTTTTGGAGGAGGGGGGGGGGGTATTTTTAGAGCATCAGTATTGCCACATCATCAAAAACTGGAGCATTAAATTGATACTCGTTCTCCTGCAGGAGGGTTTTTTATCAACATGAATAACAATTTTCAAATCTTCTGATGTAAGTTTCTCTATAGCTGATTTGAAGTTTTTGATTTATGGATTGTGTGAGTGTAACATTTCTTGCAAGACTAAAACTAAATTTATTTCAACTCCTGGAATATTCCTTTTTTCTTTGTCTAGCCTTCTTTAATGAGTTTCCCCATGAAATAGATTTGTAAAAATTTCTGTGTTCCATTGGGAAAAGGTTGTAATGAACCAACACTATGGTAGATTTGGCCTTGTATTTTGAATGTAGGCATGTAGCCTTGTTCATAAAGTAGGCCCAAAGGAAGTCACTTGAAAACAGTTTTTATACTTCCTAATTTTAGTTAAAACTGGCGAGGTTTTCCATTACTTCCTGTAACAATAATTTTAACATAGCTTGTTTGAGACTTATAATTGAATAGAGAATTATAGTGATGAGCTGCCAAAAGTAATCCTTCCCTTCTTCTTTCCTTCCCCTTCAATTTCTCTCATACTTCTTGCTACAGCTGCCTCCCTTATTCCTTCAATTCTTTCATTTCTTAATTCATTAGATTGTTGTACATGTATCTCAGCTCTATTAACTCTTGCAGCTTTTAGCCTTGTTGCTCATTCTTCATGTGATTCATTTCTCCTTCTTTCTGCTTTTCTTATGGCCTCTGAACTATTTTTTGAAACAGATTCTGATGTGGCTTTTCTTGGCATTATAAAGGTTAAGCATACATATTACTTTTGTCCTAAAGGGTTAATAATCAAATGAGAGGTTAAAGTCACTTACATTGAATTTTATATCAAGGGAAGTGATCAGTTCTTTATATCAGTTCCCTGCTAGAGAAGTGAGCAGTTCTTTATATCATTGCTCTGCACAGTTTCCTGCTTCAAAAGTGATTAGTATAATTAAGTACAGAGTATCAGTTCATCAGCTACCCCATTTTAAAACAAATGTTGAGTATTTTTTGAATGTACTATGCTCATTACAGTTACAGTTTTAAAAATAGCACAACAGTACTCCACTGCATTCTATTTTGAATGAAAGTTTTTAATGGCCAAAGTCTCTTTGATTCCTAAAACAAAGTCATTTTCAACAGTTCAATAATTCTAAATTTCAAGAATGTTAATGGAATATCAATGAAATTTAAACACGCATAACACTCACTAACACTTATACGCACTTGCCAAATATCAAACTACTCCGAGACTGTGGCGAAATTCCATCTTATGGTCTTTTTAAAACCCAGAGCATTGATACATGTAAATGAAGTTTGAGTGGTTCATCTTACCAGTTTGTGTTTAAACACAAAATAGTTCCTTATTCTAAAGATAGATTTAACTTAAAGCATAAAATTTATGTATCACTCGAGGTTATCCTTGCTGATAAATACTGCACAATAAAGTATTGAGTTTTGTTTGTTTTTTCAAGGTATATTTACCAGTGAATTGTAGTATTATATGAAGAGTCTTTTTTGGTACATTATACTCTTTCACTTTAGGGGTGAAAGCTCTATGGATGTGCACCTTGATCATGAATATATTTTAAACATAAACCTGAAAACACTAAAGTAAAGTGGGCCACACATTAGCCTCACATTGAAAAAGAGAGATATATTTCATCATTAGCAAAATTAACCTAGAAAAGTGGTTCTGTCACAATAGTTTCATGAGCTTTGAAGATTTCTTTTACAGTAAAATTCCCCACTGTTTAGAGAAAAGGAACGGATTATGTTACAATATTATAGAAAAATACAGAAATAGGTTACATGTTGCAAGTTGTTTGACAAAATCGAATGTATACCTTTTTTGTGGGAAACCTCGTGAAAATTTCGACCCCTTCATGTTTCTTCTGGGGGCTGTAGGGGAGTGGTGGAGTTTGGTCACATTGTGTGTGAGTTGTTAGTAGACAGACAAACATACAATTTCACTTATATATATATATATATATAGAGAGAGAGAGATTTGGGGGTTATTTCTTTGGACTGTCTTCCTTGTTTTAGCTTTGTTAGCCTGCTAAGTGAAGAAGTGCATTTAACTTGGGCATTTTTAAAAGTGAAATGTGCTGCAACTAAACCATGTGGGTTATTATTGAGTAGTAGCTGAGGGTTCTGATTGGACAAAATTTAGTGATGATGCATCAGTGTGTCTCCTTGAAAACCAAGCAAACTTAATGGGGAACTTCAGCCAATTATTATAACTTTAATGTGCCAGAAATACAAAGTATGGGGCATCCTTATATCCAGTTCGATTTCTTAACTTGTCACAATCTCTACCATCTTAGCCTCAAATCTAATCTAACTGTTATATGCCCAAAGTTATCAGCATGACAGATGGACAGACAGAATTTTGATCCCTCCATGTTACTTCTGGCGACCATAGTATTCACCATGTCAAGTTTGGTGGAAATTGGTCAAATAGTGTGCGAGGAATTAGCGGACAAACATACAACAGATTTCGATTTTATACATACATGGATACCTATTACATTTTCAGAAGTATATCGAAGCAGTTTTTTGTTTAATAACTAACGAAGAATATACTATAATAAAAATTGCTGTGTAAAACAAATATCTCAAAATTGAATCTTGATAATTTGTACATAAATAAGTTTATTGTATACAAATTCGAAGATAATAGAGTAAATCTTGAAACAAATTTGTTTTTTTTGTCAATAGGTTAATATTTTATATCTTGTTCTTTTTCCCCATTTCTAGGGGTTACTTCTTTGTAGTTACAAGTTCTTAGAGCTTTTGGGATATTTTTCTTCTTTGCCTATGAATGCATGGGAACCACCATAGAAAGTTTTGTTAGTAGAATAGTATCAAGCTCTCATGGGCTCAGCTACATTCATACTTAAACATTTTTCAGTATCTATTTATTATTTTCCTACAGAAAAAGAGGAGCAAGAGAAGATAAAGTTTAAAGACCGTTGTTTGGCAAAATGCTTGAAATATGTAGACATCTTTTGTGTTTGGGACTGTTGCTGGTGTTGGATTCGCTTCCAAGAGTTTGTATCACTCATCGTCTTTGATCCATTCATGGAGCTGTTCATTACACTTTGTATTGTAGTCAACACTCTGTTCATGGCCATGGACCATGATAATATGAACCCAGAATTTGCAAACGTCTTAAAAAAGGGAAATTATGTAAGTTTGGCCAGTTGTATTGCATCAATACCAATTATGCAACTTTGATTAAAAGGAAAGTTTGATAAATTTAATATGTGTTTCTGAGATTGAAACTCCTTTTTCCATCAATGGTTTTTAATTTTCTTTTGTTGTTAAAGCAATTTACTTGATTCAAATGTTTAAAACCTGTGTAAAGAATAAATTAAGTTTTACAAAATAGTGCATAGTTCAAAAAATATTTTTTCCTCAACAAAAATAAATATTTTAAAATAAGAGAATAATGTTTTCTGTTTTAGCTTTATATTTACCTTTGAAATATCAACTATATAAAGAAATAAAATTTATTAGTTTTGTTTTTAATTTTGTCATAAATAGTGATGCAATGAATATGTAATTCAATTTTCTTTTAGTGAATATTTTTTTATTAAATGATTTAATTCTGTAATTTTAATAACATTTTATGATTTTTGAGCACAACTCTGGTGGAAAAAGGGGACTATATTTTAATAATTTGATATGAATTAGGAATAATAACTTCACAAAAAGAGTTGCATAATTGATCCTTTTGAAAAATTATGAGAGTGCCATGCTCATCAGTTAGGTATGTAATATTTATTGAATTGGTTCTAAAATTTTAAAGACTCTCATAAACAGAAACTAGTGCAAACAGATGATGAATATAACATATGCAGATGATAACACAGAACCAATCAGCTGAGGGTATCAATTTATCAATAACTGTTTTTCATAAAATTTGTGAATATAAACCACTAGGAGTGATTGCATGACATTTATAAAGCTTTGTTTGCTTTGGCTTTCAAAAGCATGTCACCTCGTCATCACCCATGTTCCACACATTGGTTGTTGGTATGCGTAAAATCATGGTCATTCAATTACACTAAGCTGTTTATCTTAATATTTATTAAACACCTTCTGCATTAAAGTTTGCAAGCAAGCAGTTAACTGTTTTTTGTTTGTGGTATTTTTTGGCCTGCCTTTATACTGCATCCTGCTTGGTCATGTAAATGGTTGTTTATAATTCAGAAGGGATACGAGAAGTTTCTTAGTGAGTTAACTATCCAAGTTATGGTGTAGAAGGTAAGAACTATTTGCAAATTGATTGTTAATTATGTTTGATCACTGGTATTTTACACTAGATATATATATACTAATGTTTAAATTATTTCATATTATTGAAAAGACATTGATCAATTTTATTTGTACTCACCCCAAACGTTACGTGTGAATAATATAATATCTTGCTCTAGAGTCATCTATTTGATTTCTTATACTTCTAGCACTACAATAATAACAGTTCAACCTATCCTTGAAACTACTTCTGTAGCTTTTCCAACACTTCAAGTTTTTGAAATCTTACTTCTCTACATTTCATTTTTTCTGGACTACACCACTGCATTGTCCTAGTTTATATAAGTTAGTAGCCCTTTCAGACAAACCATCTCCTAAGCTATTTAAATGTAAGCCAGCTAAGAAGATTTATTTACTTCATGTTTTTTAACAGGCATTTATAACTTTCCATAACCAAATTTACATAAGATAATAACATTTATTGTTTGATCTTTGGATATGTGTGAAACTCAAAAAACAATTGTCATTCCAGGACCTGATTCATCATTTGATAGTTTTTCTTAGGGCTATGCAAAGAACAAAGGGCATGCATTTCCACCAAGGAAAGTATATTATTTCAGAGTGAAGAGTGCTGCTGGGTATGCTACTGTTTCCACAAGGTTACTAGAGAGCATTCTCAGAATTGAACTGTTTGATTGTAGTTACATGTATGTTCTCCTTACAATGTTAACTATACATACAGTTATGGATGCCAAACCTATACATATCTTTATATGTTATAGTAGGATGCATACCTTTTATGAAGTATTAAAATATCTAATTTTTTAATAAAAAGCAGAGAGAAATTAGAGTAGGATGTATAGTGGTTGTCAAGACATCCATACACCTATGTATATTTAATTTCATTACTTATCATGTGATTAAAATGGGGAAAAATATGTATGAAGTACTATGTCTGAATCACATATGATATTGTTTTCTGGATAAGCACCAAGAAATACTTAATGCTAAAAGTCAGACATCTTGTTTCTTCATGGAAATATAGTAAAATGTAACTTTGATGGTGTAGTTAATTATAAAGAAACTTATTTTGTATACATATTATAGCATATTCATCACCTATTGAATTATGTTTTGTTGAGAAAATATTTGTTTCTCACTTAAGATCAAAGGTGGTTAAATGGTTCAATTTTAAACACTATACTTGCCATCATCATTTAACTGGGATATTATCTTCATCTGTGACAAATGATAAGTTATTTGTTAAAATTATTAGAGCTATTTACATTTTGAGTTAATTTCTTTTCTATACCTTTAAAGAAATTTAAAGTTTTAGTGTGATATTATAATGTTTTAATCAATCAAATAGTATTTAGTATTGTTAATAAATATTAACTTGTGGCCAGAGCAAGCTATATACTTAACATGAAACTACAACTCAATATAGCAGTAAGTGTGCCTAATTAAATATATATTTCTACTTATAAGGATTAAAATGCATTATTTCATCAATTGGGTATCATTACTGTTAATGATATTTTTTGATGTAATCCCAATAACATCTCACAAGGTTCAGCCAGTCTAGGAGATTTAGGTTAGTCCTAAAGACATATATTAAAGAAACATGCAAAACAATCTTTTCAATAAAATTATAATAATAATAATCAATGAACCAAAATATAAAGTTTTGACATTCGATACACTAATGATATAATCAGTATTATTAATGAAAGTAACAATAAGTAAATAACATAATATACCTTACCTAGGAAACAGAAACACTAGCTGTCTGCTTAAACTACTGTTGTGGAAGAAAATTGTTTAGAACATATGAACTTAAGTATAACATGCTTGTTTTCCCCCTATCACATGTTTTGACCAAAGAAAGTTCATTAAGCCTCTCCTACTCTGTATTTGACACATGCTACCATTTAAACTGTCAAATTTGCAGCAGTAATTTTTCCCATAGTACAAACAAAAACGGGTGTTGATTTTTATGAAGCTACCAAAAAATTAAAATAATACCTGAACTGTTAATGAAAATGTAACAATATTAAATATAATACAAAGGATATAACATGCTAAACCTAATATGTGTTATCTAACAAAATTACTCTTAATTTAAGTATCCTCTGCAACAAACACTTAGAGCAGCTTACAGGAAGTAATAAGTTACAGTAAATATTCTGTTCAAGCCTCTCAAAAGAAGAAAGTTAAATAAAAATAATAATACTTAGAAATGAGAGATATAACAGTCAGTAATATATCAAACAGAAAAGGTCAGAAAGAAGTGTGACTAAACTAATAATGTAATATCATACTATATATATATATATATATATATATAGTAAGAAGTATTACGCTATAAGAAGTAGTAACGTAGGGTAGGTAACTAAAGTGGTGGTTCATACACTAGAGCTGTTCACCATTATTTTAAACATTATCTAAAGGATTTAAAGTGTAGATGGGAAAGTTTTTAAACGACTGTGATACTCTGTAAAACGTTTAAACATGTAAACCCCAGAACTGAATTAATTGTATGTTTAAAATTCAAAATGAAAAAATAGAGTGAGTAATGTGAGAGTGCTAAACATTTTAAAATAACTTATATTGAGTAATCAAACTGGGGAATGAACATTTTATAAATTCAAATTTGAAAGTGTCTATTTTATTGAAAAACCTTAATTAAACGTGAATGTTTGATTAGTGATGCTGACATCTAAATCCAGATTTTGTGGTGTTTTAAGCTTTTTCCTAGAGTGAGTTTGTATACCAGAATCTCTAAAACCTTGATAATTTGATACAATAATATCATCTATGTATCTTCAAGCACGACTGATGTGCAAAGCTGTACTATAGTCCTTCTTAGTAGTGTTTGCAATGAATAAAAATTCTAATCTGAATAAATACAAATTTTCAACTTGCTAAATTTACCTTCCATTGTAATTTCCTGTATCTGTTGAAAAGTATGTTGGACAAAATGCACAAATGTATTATCAAATCAAAAATTTAGTGTGTAACAGTGATATTTTTTGTGAGTTACATTGTCATAGAAGGTATTGTGTTTAATGACACAGAGTATTAATTTATCTGAATTATTTACCTATTTTGATGAAATACTTTAATTTTATCACCATAAAGATTAGTTTAAAGATTACTGAAATCAAAAGTTTCTATTGTTTTATTCTCAAAGCTTTTGATTTTCTCTTTACCTTCAATGAAATTAATGAATAGATTAATAATGTTTTACTCTTTGATAATATTACAGTATCTTTTTTTTAAATGCTGGTTAATGTTTCTCAGACCATTACTTGTCACAATTGATACTTCCTTAGTACTATTATTTTCTTCCTCTACAATAAACTTCTATTTGTATGGTGTTTTATGTAGTTTGAGAATCCAAAATAATCTACATATAATATTGTTTGATTTAACTAAATGAACACCAAAGTCTGAGAAAACTTATTGATACTTATGATAGTTTCTATGTCTGTTTTAGTATGTTTATAAACCTAGTTGTTTTTATATGTAAAAAGTTTTATATTACACTGCCACAGATAAATCAGCTAAGACACATCTACTATGTAAATATCCTAAATGTTCAATGACTTCTTTCTTGATGAAACCTTGTAGAATGGATGGCAACCGCCTGTTGTACAAACACAAGTGTCTTTCTCTTTCATAAAATGCTCATTGTTGTTAATAGTGAGTCTCTTTAAGTATATGTTTATTCATTATGTCTTAAACTTTATTTATCCAATTTATAAATAATATTACTTTTAAATATTCTTTCTTATTCCAGTTATGTAAAACTTTACTGTGTGATTTATTAATTGCATTTTTGGTGCATTTCTGATTAATGTTTGGACATTCCTAGAATTTTGGATCTTTACTCATTGATAGTTGTAGATCTTCATTTGGCATATTATCAAGGTTATTAGTGTATACATGGTTAATGGGAGAATAAATGTTAGGGGAATGAATGACATTTACATTTATAGGATAAAATGTGTAACTTTAAAGTGGTTATGTCATCTAATACTGTATAAATAATTAAAGATGATACTGACAATGGCCCTCTTACAAGAATAGCTAATAGTTAAGTCTAACACTGTATAATAATTAAAGATGTTACTGACAATGGCCCTCTTACAAAAAGAGCTAATAGTTAGGTCTAACACTGTATAATAATTAAAGATGTTACTGCTAATGGCCCTCATACAAGAATAGCTAATAGTTAGTTGTTTAAATTTGCAAATGTTAGGTAATAAATGCTGTATAGAAGTGTCTCTGACCACAGATTTTAATAACAGAACTATAAGGTAAACCTTGTCCTTATGTTTAGTAGTTATTGTTGTTTTACATTTAAGTGATGACAAGTAGCAAATGATAGCTAGTATATATTTCTCATCAAACTTTATGACATATGTATTTCTGTTCAATAAAATAGAGGTAAGTTTATTAATTGATAGCCCTCTTAAGGTAACATATAAACCTTTGAGATGTTTGTTTGATAAATTTCTAGAAACTTCTCAATAAACTACCATGTGCATTAGCCCTGTTTGTTCTGTGTTTGTGCCCATGACTCTGTTGCCTACATATAAGTGATTGAGAAATATATATAGATTATTCAGTTGTTAAGCACATAGGGATAAATTGTAACCAGTGTTTTCATGCAGTAGTCTTCTCTTTCCATTAGTTTGGCATCTAAACTATAAATTTTCACATTTTATTAATTCTAAAGGCAGGTTTTGTTTAAATATTGGAAGAAATTAAACTGTAAATTAGCCAAAAGAGAGTCACATGTTTTTGTAACGTTAACAATTATCAGAAATAAACATCAATTTGTATTTTTAAATTTACATATTGATAAATATTTCTAATTATTCTGTTATGGTTATCAGTATGGTCTAGTTAGGTTTAAGTTTATAACTTTTATTTTGGTGAATGAAGCAAGTTTTTGTGTTCAATATTTCGAACTGGTATATTTTATTTCCAGAGCAATATGCAAATACATAAAATGTATCAAATCAATGCTGAAATTATATTGTGAATATGTTTATAGCATGAATTGTAAGATATTCATAAGTAAATGATTTAAACATTAAAATATTTTTTAAAACAATATTTAATAAGTTTTATCATATACATTTATTACTTTTTTAAAAAAACATACATGGTAATTTTCATTTGAATTTTATAATCATTAATCTAAATATTGCATAGCTTATATATTTATTAACTTTTTTTCTAGTTATGGGAATTTCCCAAGTGTTCTAGCTGACATATGGAAATGACTTTTTATTTTGAAAAGATATATATATATATATATATAACAAACACATTTGGTTACAGCTCATAATATCAATTAAGTAATCTTACCTAATATTTACGATAAGAAAATGACTTAGTCTGCAAATGTTTTTTCACATATTTCTTGGTATTAACTTGAAAAAAAAAAATATAAGTTTGTAATGCTATATTTACAAACGTCTTATTTAAAATCCATAATAGACGAGACAAATTGAGAAGAATATGAGTAACAAACACCTTCAATCTAAGTGATTTTTGTCACAAATATTAGGCCTTATGAATTTCATTGATTCACCGGTAATTTTACTTACATTTAAGATCAAATGTCTTTCAAGCTGTATGCATGATAATTAAAACAGTTAAGAAAAATAAATTAACACTGGTTTTCTTCTATATTTTTTATGCCAGAAATCAGATGTCCCATATTCCTTGTGCTGTTGTACTGACATTTTAAGTATTTTTTAATAAACATAAAGTAACAAGAGGATTTACAGTAGTCAGTGTATGCAAAAGTATTTTTCATTCATATTGTTACGACAGCGGAAGTCACGTGACGCTAGTAACACGTCATGAACTTTTAGAAAGATCCTGGATGCTCGGCCGTTTACTAGATTTTGGTATTCTTTTATATATAA